ATCGCACTTCTGTTCCCCACCCCTCGACTTTCTGCTACTTAGATGAACCCCTCCTCTGTGAAGCCCGAAGTCAGATAAATGGCTGATGGTATCTATCAAAACTCCTACCATTTAAAATAAATAAATAAATTTCCATGAAAAATTGATATTAAAGTTAGAACTTAACACAATATCACCTTAATTCTTACTTTTGTGGCGTTTCTCGACGTAGAGTTTAGTGCGAATTGGATCGCTGTCGAGGAAGAAGCGCATTACTTGATGATATTTGTGTACTCCATTGCAAGTTGGTTCAACCTCTTCTAACAACTGCCAAAGTTCATCCAACTCCTCTGAGCACAACTCAAGACCAACTCTACTCAAAAAGACGGACATGTAGATAGAAGAAATGGCCAATTTAGGGAAAAAAATTGTGGTGAAAATCAATTGCTAACCTCATCATGATGGTTTGAAATTCTTGTTTGTTAATGGTTGCATTACACACACGTGGCATATCCTTGTATATCTTGAATAAAAAAATGAAAAAATTGGGGGCATTATTTTTTATTCACTTTACATCTACTTTAATGCTGTAGTTACTTTATCAATAACATGGAATTGTTCTGTTATTAGTTTCTTCAGGGCTAAAAGAAGTTGACTTAAGTCACGTTGCTCCCCTGTAAAAACGACGAGTTCTCTCAACTGAGGATCGAGTAACCTATAAAAATCAATTACATTTGACAAATAACAATGAAAACGAATTTTTAGAACGTTTGTTATTCCTCTTCCCTCACCCTACCCCCACCCCCAACCCACCACTTTTCACTGCAAAAAACTCAATATTGTTTTAAATATGGAATATATTTAAAACAAACAATGCGATTTTAAATCGTGCATATTTTTTGTAATTTAGCTTTACAGAGAATAATTAATTTTAATTTAGTTTATTATTAGAAATTTATGAGTGATTTTAAGGGGCAAAATATAAACACTTACCATTTACTGGCGTAAGAACTGTCGTCAGAAGATTGCTTGCATCTATTGAAGTAATTAAGTAATTAATTAATAATAAGAGATATTTTATATGGAAATAAACAAAGGACGATTACTTATCGAAAACGGAGGAAATAAAGTGCTCAACGTCTACTCTGCAATCATTAATAAGTCGAACTTGACGAACAAGTTCTTTCCATGCACATTCACCCAAATCGAATCCGAAGGTCCAATTAATAAGTCTGCGGAAATGTGGCAAGGGAATACCCTTCTTTATGTACTTTCTAGAAGATATAAACAAATTTAATGAGCATATCACTATCGGAGTATTCGTGCCAATCAATTTTCATTCGGCCAATCAAAACTCACTTTAGCTTGGCAATGAAGTCTAATTGATTTGCATACACGATTTCGTAAATTTCATCTTCCAGGTAACGGACCATTCTCCGACTGTTCGTTTCGCAAGGATCGTAGTTTCTATGTTATATTAAAAGTGCAAAAACAATTATAAAATATTCGACTAAATTATGTTGTTCGATGTTATATTTAAATGAAATAAAACCAATTATTAAGTATGCTGTATATTTTTGATCAATATAAAGTGCTTTGCTAAATTAATAAAGACCTGAGAAGGGCCTACTCAAATAGAGTTGAGAGAAGTGTGGGACACGTCATCGCATGTCTGCACGCCAAGATTGAGAGGTGCGACCGTACAAACAGTGACCAATCATTAACCTCTGTTGGTTTAACCTAATCCGCCATCCTGTTCATGATTAAGCTCCCTGCGTGTACACTTTATCCGTAACGTACCCACTGAATAAACGTGCTCCGTGCTACACGTCTGTTTTCTTCATAGCTGGGCTATAGCTTAACTGGTTCTGGGAGTCAAGCTAGATGTTGGAGAATCTGCCGTTCTGGGAGTCTAGCTAGATGTAGGAGAATCTGCCACAGATATAAACGCGCTCCGTGCTACACGTCTGTTTTCTTTATAGCTGAGCTATAGCTTAGCTGTTCTCTAGCTAGAGGTTGGAGAATCTGCCATAGAGATTTCTGATTCCTAGCTAGATGTTGGAGAATCTGCCATAGAAATTTCTGAGCCGGTAGCTAGATGTTTGAGAATCTGCCATGGAGATTTCTGAGTCGGTCTAGATGTAGGAGAATCTGCCAAAGAGATTTCTGAGTCAGGAGAATCTGCCATAGAGATTTCTGAGTCAGTCAGGTTTTACTAGCGTAGCAATCCGCTACATGTTCCAGAATTTTTTAATACCCCAAACCGAATGAGATTATATAATATGAAACCAGTGACAACTCATCTATGGGCTATGGTGACACTGTGGTTAACGTGCTCAGCATCTAGGTCATAGGTCACGAATTCACTACCAACCTGTGCACACCCAGTGAGCTAATTGGTCAACCCCTCCCCTCCCCCCCCCCCCCCCCCCCCCCCCCCCGAAAAACTCTCATTCACCGTGAATGAAATTTTAAAAGTCACTTACACTTTCAATTTTCTATTTACATAAAAATATTTTTTGATTTTTGAAGTATTTCAATTGATATGTTTCCATTAGAGGACCTTATTTCTGCAGAACCTACTGTTCGTCCTCTCTGAATATGTTAAAAAATAGTTTATATATTTTGTGAATAACGTTGATTCTAAGTCTCAAATTTCGTTTAAGTAAGAAAATGACTATCTATTTACTAACACATTAACTTATTACTAGGATTAGTAGACAAAACGCATTATAATTATTTGTGGAAAATTAATACTTAATGGCTCGGAATGTAGGCTACTCAAAGCATGACTTCACTACAGATACTAGTTTTAGAAGCAATTCAAATATAGTTAAAGTTGGATACATTCACTTGAGCAATCGTTCAATTTTCATGCAGAAAAACATTTTTATACTGTAAATGAAGTCATAACTATGCGTCAAAATATTGACCTTGGCAGTGTTGAAATTAGGAGGTCAAGTTATAAAGACGCTGTTTTATTCGAATTTCATAATTTAAACTTCACGAAATTAATTAAAACCGGAAAATTGTATACACATATGGCATTATAAAGCTTTTATATTATTTTTTACATGACGGGGTGCTCATACGGCAAAAAAGTCTATCAATCGGAAGTTGACTTCTCACTTCTAACTACCAACACCCCACTGTATGTCACATTCTACCACTTCCATAGTACTCACCTCACCTTTTCTCTGCCTTTGCGTCTGTCTATTTTACATCTTTGAAACACTCTTCTCTTCCTCTCCCCCCCCCCCTCTCGACTTTTTTTCACTTTGATGTTCCTTTCCCTCTGTGAAGCCTGAAGTCAGCTAAAGGACTAATGGTAACTACCAAAATGCCTGCCATTTGATATAAATAAATAAATTTTTTTTGCATGACAATACTTTCCAAAAACAGGAAAAAAGGGCAAAGGAACCTACAGATTTGGAGTTGGACGGTGAGGTTGATTGCACTTCAATTGCATCAAGATTTTACCATAAAGTACTTTATTCCCAGTTGCCTTGCAGGAATCAGTGCCCATATTGGCAAATAGATCCCGCCTTCTGCAATACTTTTTCACTTCCTCCTCGGTAACTTTAATTCCAAGATCTCTTATTACCGCCAATAGATAAGCAACTGATATACAGCCAGTATTTCCCGCATCGCCTCTCCTAAATACATTGTTCAAGGCAACCAGAGAACAGCGAAGCTAAAGCCACAAAACAAAATGTTAAAAGAGAGGGCGGGGAGGGGGGAGGAGAACTAATAATAAATAAATCAATTATTTGCAAACCAGATATCTTAAAAAATCCAAAGTGTCCCTGATGCATGGGTGATTATGTTGCAGTCTTGCCAATTCGTCTCTGAAATGTATTGGAAGAGTGGGAATTGATACATTTAATGGCGACTTGGGTTGAATTGTATCACAACCATCTCCACCTTCTGTCTTAAATAGCAACGGTTTAGTTACTGGTTCAAGAGCCAATGGACGACAAGGATTCTCCTTCTAAGAAGAGAAAGACAAAGAGAGATATAAGAATGCGCATCACTAACCAAAATGGGTTTGTATTCATCGTAGATTTCATACTTTAATCTATGTGAATTAGGAAATTTGTAGTGATTCGGTTTCGGTAATTTATCTTTTGGCACACCCTCTGCGGTAAGATTGAGTTGGTCGATTAACTGTTTTGTTGAAATTGAGCCAATGCCGCCTAAATCAAATTTCCTACCAGAACGTAGTTAGATTAATTTTTATTACTGTTCCCAGAGTCGACGAAAATTTTCATCAATCAAGTGGATATTCATCCGGGAGAGCATTTCTCTAAATTGTGGTTTTAGAATTCGACCGTTTGGATCAAAACAACTTGGTGGAAGCAGTTCTCTCAAATTAAATCCCTTGGAGCGAGCTCCTAATAAAATATTTTCAAAAGCAAATGCGACTGATAAATTATGGTCATATCCGAAGGCGGATATTAAGTGAGGTCCATCAGTTTGTCCAAAAAATTTCTCGAGCTCATCAAAGCTTACTACATGCTTTTTATTTAAACAATATCTAAACTTAAACTTAAAAAGACATGAAAATAATATCACCTCTCGCAGAGTTTATAAAATTGATCCATCTTCATTTCTGGACAGAGAGTGTGAAATATTTTTAATAATTCAGACCTAAATGGCAATTATATGTTTCATTACTTACTTTGGCACTCTTCCATTTTTATGACAATCTGCTTCAGTAAACAAACTTTGAACGAAATACTTTCGGCGTTGAAATTGACATCTTAAAATAACATCAATCTTTAAAATGATGAACAAAATATCAAGCATACCTCATCAAGAGAAAGTCGTTGGGATCTTTTTTGGTGGTATGGCTTCAAAACCCATTTTCCCAGTTCTTAAAATACATGAAGCAATGATGTTTCTTACGATCTTTATCCTTTGGAAGGACGTAATGATATTTTTCATTTTTAAGAGGTCTGAAATAATAGAAACCTTGATCTTGATCTCTAAGCTGCTTTATTGTTACAGCATCATTGCAACGATTCAGTGGTTTGACTTCCAGAACTCCTTTAATTGAACATTCGGATTTGTTTTTTATTGTTGGTTGAAACACTCGATTTGTTGCAGGTTCACTGAGGTATTTATAATTGAATTTTACTTACTGTGGAATTTCGCAAACCCCATCAGTCATATTTAAACGACGCCCCGTTACTAGTAATTGTGCATTTGTTGAGGTGATGAAGGTCAATTATTCTCAAGGTGGTTGAACCGCTGAATAAAACACTAGGATGTTATTTCGAAATGTAATAAAGTTCCATCGAATATGTAATAGAATTTGATCTAAATTATCAAGTATTATTATTAATGCTTATTGGAATAATCTAAGTAAGTTGACTAGGCAATATGAAATTAGGAGGTAAATTCAATATTCCAAAACTTCCTGCATTCCTTTTACATTAATAAAGTTTATGTTGAAATTGCTTCCAATATTCAAGAAATGTCGAAAAGTGATTAATAATTACCTTCATATATATTTATTTTTCAATTTACCAATAAAACCAATTACAGCTCCAGAGGAGATTATAAATCTAGTGAAACTCAGAGTAATTAATATCATCAAAATGTAAGTTGATGTTTCACCAAGCTTTTCAATAATCATATCTGGACATGGCTCATTCTTCAGTCTCATATACCAGTACGTGGCCGACACAGGTCCTGAATCATAGTAAAAGTCCCTTATATCGGTCGCTGATTTATCCTCCTTCGTTGCTCCAGGTTTTCGTGGTGGGTAAGCTATTCCACAATTTTTATAACGATAGTTTTCAAGACAACAGCTATCTGGAACCCAGGCAAACTTAAATTCTTGCTTCAGAAATCCTTCTTCATCCATCCACCATTCACGATGCCATTGTGTTAGACCGCAGCATTGAAATTTATCGTTTACCCAATCGGCATATCTCCTTGACATATTAAATCTCAAGTAATTATCAACTAGTCCTTTGACCATTGTGGTGATGCTTTCCCTGAAAAATTCACTTCTCCGGTTGAAAACATAAATTAGAAAGAAGAGTTCGAAAATCAAACTGACAAAATGGACTCCTAGGAATATCAAAGCAGCACCTCTTTTTTTCAAACGAAGGGTTTGCAGAGCTGTTGCGATGCAGATAAATAGCCATCCAGCGTGAACTCCTGTAATGGATATTGCCATAATCACCGACTCCTTACTGAATACGAGTAGAAAACGATTACGCCTCACATAGAGTGTTATGGTTGCTGTTAGAAACGCAGTTGCGTGAATGAAGATCCATAGAACAGTGATAAACCATAATAGTTTGCCTGGGTTCATGTTGTTACTTGTTCAAGTTGAAGAAATTTTGTCACGTTGTATTCATGTGATCTGTTTAAATTGCACAATAATTCGTTCTAAATAACAGCGGGTCTAATCCATATCGAAAAATGGATCATCACATTTCTATAGCTAAATATCACTATTTAGTATGCTTCATAAAATTAAAATTGATTCACATATAAAGATGCGTCAATAATTATTCTCAATTTGTTTAGCGTGGGAGATATTCGCATACACCAAAATTGGATTCAGAATTGATTATAATTATGAATGTCTTCACTTAATAGGATAATCATTGTCGTGGGGGTGTGCAATAGACTTACCTCCATGTGATGCACCCAGGGCAACGTATACTTATACGGCAAAAAAGTCTACTTATCGGCAAATGACTTCTGACTTCAAATTACTATGACCTGACTGTTTGTCATTTCGACCCCTTTCACAGTACTCATCTAACCAACTCTCTGCCTTTGTGTGTCTGTCTCTTTCACATCTGTTAATCATTATTCTGCCCCCCCCCCCCACCCTCCCCTCGACATTTTGCCACTTTGATGTTCCTCCTTCTCTCTGTGAAGCCCGAAGTCAGCTAAAGAGCCAATGATTACTACCTGCTGTTTGAGATAAATACACNCTACCATCACCTCACTCTATGCCATATTTGTCCCCTTCACAGAACTCATTTTACCTTTTCTCTGCCTGTGTGTCTATTTATCGGCCTCTTTTACATATTTAATCATTATTCTCTCTCCCTACTCGACTTTTTGCCACTTTGATGTTCCTCCTTCTCTCTGTGAAGCCCGAAGTCAGCTAAAGAGCCAATGATTACTACCTGCTGTTTGAGATAAATACACATTAAAATAGATGCTCTTTTAAGCTAGTATCATAGCAAATTACACGAAATGGCCATTTAATTTTTAGAGTGGTGATTTTTGGCTTAAAGTGAATGCGCATTCACCATGAGTATTACAGTTATGTCAAGAATTCCACAGTTTTGTCTACTTCTTCTTCTTATGATATTTCATTATTTAGGGATTACATTGGTAATTTATTTGGACGTAAATCCAAAATCAGGCAGTATTATGAAAATACATAATCATAATTTTTTACTCTTTAATTTTTGAAAATTCTGTTTTTTACCATGAAGTAGGTGGTAGTGTCTTGGCATTCCTTTTTGTTTGCATTTCGATAAACTGGAATAGAAGTTGGTTTACTTAGTTCCTTCACCGTTCTTTCTGAAGTTGCACAAACTTGGAAAAGTGACTGCCACCTTATAGCATTTCGCAAGGTCTTTACTCAGGTTAGACAAACTGGAGAACAATGTCGCAATCCCATACTAATTCTCTTGGCAAATTTTCAATAATTGATTTAAAAGTTAGTAACTTGTTATTTTGAGGAAATATTAGAAAACGTAGGATTTATGCTTAATTTATTATTTCATATTTAGTATAGTTATGTGCGATTTTTGCTTATTAGAAGAATAGTTGGTCATGCTATTTTCCAGCCCACATAAATGCAAATAATACTTGCTGTTTGTCGTCACAAGGCAAAAAATTACAAATGAAAGTCCTTTCTAGTGTAAAAGGTAGGAAATTTGACCTTCCTAATGGTATGTGAAATCCAAGAAACTGCAGATTTTGGAGGGTGATATGTAGCCAGAATAAGAAAACATGTAGGTGTGTGTTTAAATTCGCCATTTTTGATGTCGTATTTTAAGTAAAATCGGAAAACTCAACGAGTTGAGAAGATAAATGAAGGCAATTAATAATGGTCTTTAGAGCCTAAAAAGATAGATAATATCAGTTAAAGTTTTATGTTAACACCTCATGCAACGACTATTTTGTCGATGCTACAATATGAAAATTGCTATAATCTTTGACCCAATTAGATCGTGCCACAGAGGTGGTAACTTTACATTCAGCTCCCATTGCAGCAATGTTGTGTCTTGCTCATCAGGGTCACCAAGGTTATTCGAAAATGATCGTTAGGGTCAGTATGAATTTAGACTCCCTTTGACCCCTGTGAAAGAGCTAGAAATTGAGTCCGTTCAGATTCCCATTCATCTGCTATTAAAAATGGAATCAACCATTTTGTGTATTTTAAATAACACGATTTTAGAAGGGTTCAAATAGCAGCCAGGTAACAGATTCTGATCCAAGCTATTCGTACAGGCGTCACCTTCCACATTCTATGCAATAAGGTTAAAAGAGAACCAGAATGACATCTTCACGACAGACAAATGTAGTCGTCACCTGTATCAAATATTCCTTTGGTCTGCTTATAATTATCTCCTCTAGGAAGTTCAGCTTCAATCATAACAATAATACAAGGAACTAACGCAATAATTACATTTTCCACAAGTAAATTAAAGTACCGTGACATCAAAGAGACACTGAAGACACCGAGTGATGGAATTGGGCGTTCTGGTTGATGAAAATAATTAATATCAACAGAGAAAGGAAAAAAGGGGGGAAGGTGGGAAAATGAAAGACAGATTAGTTTAAACAGGCGCATTCGATTGGAGGGGATATTAAGATTGCGAAATTGTCGCGGGAGCAAGTCGAAGGTTGACATAATCGTCACGAAGTTGCGAAGGACAGCAGGAGAGAATCACCTTGATTTGATTGAAGATGGCGCGCGCCGAACTCCACTGAGCCTCAAATTCCAGTCGGACTACATCCTCCAGGGTGAAATTGCACACAAGCTTATCTTCACCGTCACCTTGTTTGCACCCCTCCACGGAGGAGGACTGAGGCATATTATCGTTTCCGGACTTGTCGTTCGACGGGGGCTTCTAAGATTGTATAGACCAAAATTGTTTTAAATCAAGCAGCACCACAATTACCATAGTAGACAAATTTAGTGGGAAATGAGAACTTATTCAAAGAGGTCCATTGGCTATAGTAATACTCAACCAGCCGAGTTCTCTTTGAAAGTGAGATCCGGCCTATTTTAACTCATGACTAATATCCCTAGCCACTGCATTGGCTCTAGCTACAGTTCCCTAATCGGCAGCACAAGGAATACATAGACAAATTAACAATAGTGATGATGTAAACAAAGACGAAGTCCACTATAATGGACGGAGAGAAATAAGGGGCAAAGGCATAAGATCGCAGAGTGAAAGGAAGAGCCAGCCATGTCTTAATAACCCCAAGAGCTCCCAACTCGAGTGGGAATCATAAGGATGATTGAATGGCTTGATTTAGTCATTGATCACGCACACTTTCGCGTTAGGTTGATTTTAAGCATGCGAACAGGGGTGTACTAGAGACTTACCTCCACGTGGTGCACCCTGGGCAACGTATACTTATACGGCAAATAAAGTCTATTATTTGGCAGTTGACTTCAGACTACCATCACCCCACTGTATATCACATTCTACCACTTTCACAGTACTCATCTCACCTTTTCTCAAACTTTGTGCCTGTCTCTTTTACATCTGTAAGTCCCCACCCCTCGACTTTCTGTTACCCTGATGTTTCTTCCCCCTTAGAGGCCCGAAGTCAGCTAAAGGGCTGATGATAACTAGCAAAACGCTTGCCATTTGAAATAAATAAATAAATATGCGAACAGGTGTGTGCATGCGTGCGCACGTGTGCGTATGGGCTTCTCTTAGGTACGATATGGTTACAAGTCAACGACTAACATGTTTAAAGCCTATTAAGCTTGTAAAAAGTAACCGTTAAAAGGCATCATCTGTGTATTATAAATAAGGGTCATGTGATAGGAGCTGATGGAAAGATGATATAAGCCTAACTCAACTAAACTAGCTTTCTCTGATCCCAGAGATTGCCCCTTGATCAGAAGCTGTAAAACTCCTTGATTTATCCTGACGAAAGGAGAAACTTCCAATTCGAAGTAGCCCAAATTTCGTGGGAAGGAAGAAGAGGTAACATTATTTTCCTTAATTATAACGAGGAACTTGACTTTCATAGACTAGTATTATAGAAGGGGGGTCGAAATGCAGACTTACAAGATAGGAGATGACGAAGGGAACCTTGTTGAAAGGCATGATGGACAAGTCACCGGATGCTGCAGCATTTGATGAGCAGATAACGCAATCTAGGACGTAGGACATGGGAATTGTTAGAGATTTTGAACCACCGCGGAAGATCTTCGGTAACTTGGAGGCCTGTACATCCAACTTGTCTCGAGATACAGCTGAAGAGACGCAATTCAGATAAGATTCAAATAATCGCCGGGGGGGGGGAGTTGAATGCTACTTTACGATTGATGTTTAGTTATGCTATTCACCCTAACAGTAACCAACGTTCTGAATCTATTATAATCATGGAGGGGGGNGGGGGCATAAAAGCTTGTAAACTGACCACGAAGTCCATTCGGTGTGCCTCGGTTATCTACTGACAGTTTGGTTTATTCAATCGTCTATCAACTTCTCCCTCCCGTTCCTCAAATAAGGATACACTCTCACTTGGAGTGCTAACGCTTTTATCATCTCTTTCAATTTCTAAATATATTCACCCCCTTCCCCACCCCCCACCCGCCNNCCGCCACTAAAAAAGCACCATCGTTATGGAATCAATAAGACACCAAATGCGAAAGTGCTGACTTGTGATCCCAAATGCTTCTCCGTGAAGTGGGACGACTTTAATGCGAACCGATGCACTTTCTTCATAAATCTAACCCAGCTCCCTTTAAAAAGCCCTCTAGAAAGGAGATAAACATGTGTTGTGGAATAGTGGCCAGTTAATCGTTGAATTACCATAAAAAAAGCAGCAGGTTAAAGAAAGGCTGGTTAGAAGGAAGGAAGGATATGGAGAGATAATTTTGCTGCGTAATGCGATTCTCACCGACTAAAAGTGGATTCTCTTGATGTTTATCTGCTTTGATACTTTGCGTGAAGGTGGTGGAGCTAATTAAAATATTCTCAGCCACCTAATCGAACAAAGTCAAATGAATTGTTCAGCCCAAGAGGCACCTAACCAGGGATTGATTGAAAGATGAGGTACGTGTCAAAGAAAAAAAACACATCTATCTGAGAAAAGAAAGGCAAAGGAGACATTGTATGTGGAACCAAGTGGAATGTGGAGGTTTTAGGAGGCAAAATTGGGCGACGCAACTCTCATGCAGACATGCTAAGGTTGATATAGACTACTGCAATGAATAAGCCGGTGAGACAAACTATCACTCCATCCAGTATTTAACAACAAACATATTGAAATATAAAAAGGAAGTTAATGAAGTCTGATCGGGGTGCGCGATAGACTTACCTCCATGTGGTGCACACTGGGCAACGCATACTCATCCGGCAAAAAACGTCTATTAACCAGCAGCTGACTTCTGACTTCTAACTAGCATGACTCGACGGTATGACTTATTCCACCACTTCCACAGTGCTCACCTTACCTTTTCTCTTCCTTTGTGTGTGCCTGTGAATAATTATTCTGTCCCTCCTCTCGAATTTTTCCCACTTTGATGTTCCTCCTCCTCCACTCTGTGAAGCCCGAAGTTAGATAAATGGCTAATGATAACTATCAAAAAAACCTGCCATTTTTGAAATAAATAAGTAAAGTTTGATCAGGTGCGTCTGAATTAATGCAGCGATATAAGAACCCAAAATTCGAAAGTGTAGTAAATGAGGAGTTAACTTACGAGGATACTGGGCTCACTCTTGTTGTACTTGAGTGGATGCATCGAAAATATTCGACTTGATTTCCTAACACAAGACCCCCACTCCCCACCCCCCTCGAGTGAACAAAAATCGATGTCTATCAAGAAATAATTGCTTGTTAAGATTCTGAATATGTAAATTCGGGAAAATTTAGAGGAGGGGAGTTTAACAGGAAATGCTAACTTACTTATTTGCACATCACGAGTGGAAGGGCCGCGAATTTGAGTAGCACGATACTTTCGAGTCTGCAGATTTCGAGCGGCTACTGTGCCGGAAGAGGGGCCTGTAGAGGGACTTTCGTCTCCATGGGCCCATCCATAAGCCTCCCAAGCAATTGGGTCATAGCGACCTGAAAGTGGGGAGGAGGAGGAGGATTGAATAAGTGATAGGGTACACGAAATGGATGCAATACTATGGGCGCTTGATGAATCGATTAGTTTTTTCGCTTTTTACCTGAATTTAAATTCAGAACGCGTCATAGATATCTCCATTTATTCATGAGCACCTTGTTACAAATGTGACAAAAAGGATTTCTGAAAGACAATCTCCAGAAAGTGGATAGGAAGAAGCTTTAACTCTCACCTTCTCCCCCCACCCCCACCCCCACTTGAAATACAAGGGGTCCTTTTACGTTAAATAAAATGTTTAAAACTTTTGAAAATCTAATAATCACGTGCAGTGAGATGCATTGGGGCTCTAGAAGCAACCTACAACAATGCAGTCTGACCTAGCCAACAGTCACACACTTAGCTAGCACAGCTGGGGTGGGGGCTTACCTATTGGCGCATTCCGAGTGATGTGTGCTTCGGTTTCGCTGGGTAGGATATCGTGAGATCACCACTTTTGACAGACTTGAGGCTTGGTAGAAACCAAAACTGAAACCAAACCGAGAAAATAGCGCTAATCGAAACTGAAACTACACAAAAATTCTTGTTCTAAAAGTTTATACTTCAAATTTCCATCTGCCTTCCCCTCTAATCTGACAAAACTTGCTCGAGAACTATGATAATTGGAACGAGGCTCGTCACTTTTGATAAAAAATGTCTCAGCTAACTCGGTGGTACTTTCTATTCCCCTTAGTTCTCAATTTCGACTGACGTGTCAATGATGACATCTAAGCATCTGATAAGCACCATAAACGCTCCAATCCAGTGAAATACATTAATTCTACTTTGCCAATAAGCCAGAAGGAGAATCCTTTAGAGGTGACTATAAAGGATGATCCGACGGCGTCCAAGATGACGTGGAAATTGACTGAAAGGCGGTAACAGAAACCAAATTTCAATTGCTTTTCCCACAGTTAATTTTCTTTGTTCACCCGGCCCCTCATCTTGCAGTAAGCAATAGTAGTAACATAACGTAGTTGTAAGGCATTCAATGCGAGTTATAGACTGCGCATTAGAGAGGGCTCCAACTCACTTGGAGTTGAGTTCATGTATAAGATTAACGTGAG